TTGCTTAAATGAAGGATTAATTGGCCTCATTCTAATACATACAAATCCGGCAGCAAGCTATGCACTCACATCAAAAAGGTTTGCTGACTAACTTATTGACTAGATCAAATAACCTACCTTTTGCATATGTGCTAAATGATCTATTTATTAGATATATTACAATAAGTGGAAAGTCATAAATCTGACCAAAATATATCTAGGTTCACGATGCCACTCAGTCTTTAAAGGTAAACTGTTACTTCCTACAAATCCTTTTATGGGGCCTTTTTATAGTGGATGGCTAAAATAGCCTCATTCCTTCATTTATCTTTGTTTACTCCTCACTCAAGGTGGCTAAAATGGTGCACAAAAGTCATATTTGCCGCATGTAGCGTAGCATGCAGTCCTGCTTTAATCACAGCAAAGAAGCCTTCATGCATATCTGGAGGCATAGCGGTGCACCCGAGTAGCCACGATCGGAAAGTAGGCAAACCCCTTGTGGGTTGGTGTGCGAGTTAGTGGCGCATAAAGACCTAAATTGAATTATCCGTCAGAACGACGATCCGGAAAAAGGTAAGTTCACCATCATTGACCAGCTTGCTCAGGCCATTAAGCAAGCCCACTTTCTCCTAGCCCGGGACGTTCCCATCGCCGGCATTGGCACTGGTAATCCGAATAATTACTTGGGCTAACTGAAACCATGTCAGGTAAGTAAAGGCCTAATGATAGAGTTTCCCACAACGAACCATTTAAGCGGCTTCAGCATGCCATTGAATTTCACTTAGTAATGCCTCCATAAAAGATTCTTAGTTGGAATGGATTAAAGAGCCCATGTTGAACATGGACGATTTTGCCACTACAACCCACATGCAGGGGTGGATGTGAATTTTAAAGCAAATCAAACCTCTCTCCATTCACATTTGGAATACAACTCACTCTGTCACATAATAGTTCAAGTTGGGGCATGGAATCGGCGCGTACCGCTTGACATGTTAAAGAATGGTAACCAGATTAACATAATTCGAGAAGCTACATTAAATTTAAGGAATGCCCAGAATTTTAATAAAGACTGAGGTTTAGCAACCAGTAAATTTGGAATAGCTTTATTAACATTTATTAACTATTTTTTAACTGAGATATAAATTGCGAGAAATATTTATGAAATTCTAATAATTATAGCTAAACAAAGGTATGGGAATATATAAAAATAAATTGCACAAATGAATAAAAAATATAAGTTGAGTTATAAATATAAATATGAATAAATAGAACGATATAATAAAACACAACAAGTGAAATATGCAAATGAAAAATAAGAATAAATACGAATAACAATGAAAAATAAAAATAGAAAACAAGTTGAAATATAGAAAAAAATAGAAAAGAAAATTAGTATGTATCAATGTATATAAATGTATAAATATAAATTCGTTATCAGTCCTCACCCCATCTACTGCGACCGGGGCTGATGCGAATTTTTATATAATCACACAAATATACCTTCCTCCACCCCGGAAAAAAGGGTAAGTGATTCTCGATTATTTTCTGCTCGCCCTTTTGTCGTCAGTCTCCAGTTCCTATCGAACATTTTTCTTTGACAAACTATCCTATTTTTCAGTTCATACTTTAGCCACATTTGAGGCAATCAGACCACTCAACATTTATACTAGGGTAGCAGTAGGCCAAATTGGCTTTCCAAATCCTGAAGTGGGGCTTTCGCCACCACTAAGATTTAACAACTGTTGCAGCATCTTTTAATCAATCAAAAAGACCTATCGAGTTCCTTGGAGCCGCAGGTGACAAATAGCTTTCAAGATAAGGCAAGCCCAGATGATTACACCAAGCAATTTTTCTTAACAAGGCCAACAATCAGTCCATATTTTTTGTTTCATAAGTAATTTTTCGGGACTACAAGTCGATCTGATATAAGAACTGAATTCCCTTTTTTTCGTTCGAGATGATGAAGGACTGATAACTGTATTTTTCCACAGGTCTCATGCTTCCATTGGTATTATTATCCAAGGCGGGCTGCTGTTTCGACCTAGCCTACGTTTTATTGGCACTCGTAGCAGGACTCAAATCCGGGTAGCGCAGCGTAACGCCTTATATAAAATCTGTATTCACAATATTCAACAGCCAATCCATCATTACCTCAAATAAAATAAGGTCAATTCAACTCTGATATCAGATAGATTGATAGTTTCATAAATCTACTTATGATACGAAAGATAAAAAGAATTTAGTCGATGTTTATAGAAGAGACAACTTTAAGTCGTCGTCCCTCCCGCCGCAGAAATATGCTATGAGAAATGCCTAGGATTATGTGAAATTCCCTTTTACTCTATGATCCAAAGGGACTCGTGGAAGTGTGGCTCAGTGGTGGACGTGTCGATATTATACCCTGCTTTACCATAACCCGCATTCGATTCGCCCTAAGGGTGTTGACTAGACCTAGTCGAGGTTGAAACTGCAGTCTAGCCTGGATGAGAATGCTTTTTATGAAACCAGGCTATAGAAAATTCAATAAAAAAATTGAGTTATTCTCATATCATTATTGTAAAATTCAACTATCATCCCTTCGTCGGCTCAAACGAAATAGGGTTAATACGAGCTCTAAATCAATTCTCAAGACGTCCAGGGATATTTTTGCAATAATTGAATTATAACCTCGTGTTGGCAGAAGCTGGCGGCGATTTAAAAATTATTTGTGCTCTAATTTTTTACAAAGCTCATCCGAAAAGGGGACTCAGAAAGAGTCAAACTCAGTCAGAAAGGCTTTGTTATTAAGGTCTCTTTCAGCATGAATTAGAGCCCATTGGGCCGTTCACGATGCGTGATTATCAATTTTAAGTCTGACGTTGTTTTCGCGTGAATTTCAGGCTAAGTAATTTTGGGCATGGATGATGCTCACAGGAAGAAGCAACCAGCCTAGATTTTATAGTTTTAAGGCTAGCTAAATTATTTTCGGCAAAACACTAGTTTTACGATAATTGAAGGAAAGTGAAGGCTTATCTTGCAGCAAGATAAAGCCTTGGAGTGAGGACTAACCTTTGCTTTCATACCAAAAACATAGAGATTTTTCCTATCACCTCCAAGATTCCTCATTCCTTATCGATGTCCTTGTGAGTTACAATAATTCATATTTTACGACGGCTTTCTTCTCTCCCTAAAACAAGTTCATCTAAAGCTGATAAACTATTTTAACCGATAATTTCAATGGAAGTGGCATAGTGCATTAGACTTGCTGACTTTGCCCATGAAGATGTAATCACTTTCGATGGCCCTATTATTAGCATTACATGTATACAAGTGTAGATAGATGGAAATTTTAATTTACCTGCAACATACTGACAGTAGTGGCAAGGCGGTCAAGCTCTAAACCGAGCGGAGGTAACGCTGGCAATGTCAAGGCCTCTGCCAAGTCTGGAAGAGGACAACTTTTGGGAGACAAGGTTAGACGAACCTCAATAGGATCATGAAGCATTCTCATATATAACTTTTTTATCACTTTATGCTATCTAGACTGATTACAGTTCATATTCCGTTTCTACCATTAGTTTCCAATCCTATATTAATTATTAATATAAGCTAAAAGATATTTTTCAGAATTTACTGAAATTTCATAATGTGATTTACAAAGTTAAATTTAATTAGATGTTTGTCAAAATTATTATGTTTTTTAAACTAAGGATGATATAAGTAAGGTGACATTTTGTAAAGTTTAGATGCACATAAGCTCTAGCCATTATCATAATTGTGTATAAATTGCTAAACTCCTTGCTAAAGAGTAGAATAGACTATTTCTCATATCGTAAACATTTAAAACTACTCATTATCCTGCAAGTAAATGTTTAAATATCCAGTTATAAGGATGACTTCAATGGCTATCGGGCTAGGATGGGCTGAGGTGCCCGGCTTTGCACAGACTAGTACACACTGTCAGTCTCTACCACTATCCATCTAATCCTCGAGAGGGATTAGAGCTTGCGGTTCAATTGGGCGAATTGAGAGACATCTTGACCAGGATCACGACTTTGCTTATATCCCATGCAATTTGGCCAACTACCAAGTCTATGAATAGCATATGACCAACAGGGCTCATTTAACTGGAGTAGATGGATGCCGCATAGAAAAATATTTTGCCCTAATTTACTGATTACTTAAATACCATGAGATGTATTTATCCTATTTCGTTTAAGGTGATGAAGGACTGATAGTAGAATTTTCCCACAATGATAT